AAAAACTCTACAAGAAACCATATGAACACATTCGATAGCGTTTACTTATACACTTATCTAAAATTTCGTTTTTTTGACGAAATTCGACTTTTTTGAGGGGGCCTTAATGGAAATTATCAAAAATTTCGGTCAAAAATGGGAGCCGAAGAAAAAATCAATAGTGTTTCTGAGAGAGCAGAAGACGGGCTATCTCCCCATGCATTTATCTCGATTTCGAAATTTTTGACGAAAACTGACTTTTTTGGGGGGCCTTAAAAGATTCCTCATTCAATTCTCTACACAAAACATATTGAGCATTTCTTTATATACTATAAAAATACAAAAATATAGAGAAAATACGGGAAAGCTTCAATATCGATTACTTTCAAACGCAAAAAACAGATTTTTCAATTTCAGTCCCTTACATTTTATGATATAAAAAAAGAGAAAATGGCCGCTTTGTGGTTCTCGAAAAGTTCTATCAATTAGCTATATTTAAGACTTTTCATAGGCTCAAGCGGTCGCAAGAGGATTTTCTTTTAGCGATTTTGCCCAAAATCATCATTTTCTAACTGCAGTTTTGAGGCACTTAGAATACTGGAATATAATTAATGTCATAAACTCTTTCAAATTGCGCGAGAGATTTCTCTATATTTTTATTTATTTCATTATTAATTAGCTCAGCATAAGAAGAAATTAGTTTTGAAGTAGTCTGTTCAGGTACCAAGGCAAAATTTTTAAAAGTCACCAGTAAGAAATAAAAGAAGTTTAAGATAATTTAATAAAATCAACAAATACTATACAGTCATTTCTTTTCAGAATAGTAGCACAGGTTACTACACTAATACCAAAGACTCGAACCAACAAAAATAATTGCTCACACAGTTTCGCGTATTGCTGCTACAACAGTTCTTACGTTCAGGACGAAAGCAGCGAAGTTAATGGCTCTTTGAAAGTGAGTTAAATGATCGTGAACTGACTAGTTTTTGACCATTGAGGCCGTTTATTGGTCAATTTTTGATCATCTAAATTTTTGATCATCTATATTGAGGTCTAGAAATGATCATTTTCACGGTGTAAAAACGGCTAGTTTTAATTCGACTTTATCTATTACTACAGATATGTCTTAGTAGCTGGAGCTACAGTCCGGCAATGAGTCTGCTGAGCCCCGAGTCTCCGTGCAAAACGGAAGACAACTTTTTTTCTTTCTCTTAACATTTTCTCCGTTCCTCATATTGTCGATTTTTTTTTCAAAAAAAAGTAGCCGATTGCATTGTCAGTACGAACAAAGGCATATTTAGTATGAATGTCACGGTTATATAGAAACCGAGACAAAAATAAGTCTATTTAATAAATTATGTTTTTTACAGCAGTTCTATACTTTTTTTATTCTAATACTAAAATTAAAAACTTGTCCATTCAGTTTGCTCATCCAACATGTTATGATGCACGCTTCTCTTTCTAGTTTGAGCTCCTAACACATGCCCTGATGGTGATTTATTTCAGCGTCTGGAGCTCTATGTATCAAAAAACGACAAAAAAATTGAAAACACTTTCTCGTAGAACCATGCTATCGTATTGACTATGGCAGGTGTAAAGAGTGAACGCTAGAAATCTTGACGGAGATTCTGAGACATGTATGATGTAGAATAGTGTAAAAAAGTCTATGGAGCTGTCGCAAGACTGGTGTGCCATGTTCTCTGTTAGTGACTCTTTTGAAGTTATATCAACTGGCAAATATGATGATTGAAAATTATTCTAATGTGACTTTTCACGGCTTGGATGGGTGAAAGTTGCTTATGAGCTTGTTATTCGATACTGTGGAGTCCTGTATGTTTCGTTGTTACAATTTGTTGTTGGATGTTGTATCATATTCGGTGTAACATAGCTAGCAGTAGTGGTGAATACTAGTCGTTATTTAGAATAAAACTGCAGTATGGTAAACTTGTGCTTTAAAGCAGAAAATTAAAATAAACAAAGTTAAATAACCAACGTGGCAAATTAAATCCGCAAGTATGGCACGGTGAGCAACTCATAGAGGGCTTTTCATACTGATCACAAAATAGTTAAAAAATTATTAGATATATATCTTGAAGAAGATGAATCATTGGACGTCAAACACAAAGGCAAATTCTTTGTCAGAAATAATAATGAACGTACAGGACTTTGTTTCCATAAATTTCTTTTCATTATTTTTTTTACATAAAAAGTACTCTTACGTGTTTCCTAAACATAGTCTTCCGTAAAGAGAAAGTTTATATTTCTTTAGTGTTTCATCGAGGTTCACTTTAAGTTGTTAAACTTTGTATTTTTTAAGTATATAGATATGTGCTGTTTTATTTATAGGTAAAAAAATAATATGACTTTTTTTGTCTCTCCAGGAAATCTTATATAATAAACACAACAAAAAGAGATAAAACTTTCGTTTACATAAAGTTCACAGATTGAATAAATCTGCTTTCTCTCTACTTTCAATTGAACAACAGCAAGATAAACAATCAATACCAAGAACAAGTGTAGGAAGTCATTTAACAAATGAACACAAAAGGAAAGAAATGCCTAGCATAAAATATGTATATAGCAAATTTATCTGAATTTTTGACACCAAAAACAAAAAAAATAAATGAAAAAACAACTACTGATGGACTAATTGTTGTTCAATAAAAATGTGTAAAGAATATATAGAATGAACACATAAGAAACCGTATTACATTTTTTGTGTGACAATAAAACAAGAAGGAACTCTTTTTCGAATAACAGCCATAAAAAAAAAAGAAGAATAAATGTTGATGAATATAATAGAAAAAAAATGTGAAAGTGGAGATAGAAAAAACAAATTCTTGAGTATTCTTATAGTTAAAAGGATTAAGAGCCAAAAGATTGAGCAGTACAAGTTTTTGATTAATAACAGCCATTCAATTTTTATTTTTGTTTAATTCAACTAATTAGAATCATTTTATTTTTCTAACGTTTCGACCTGTATACAGATCATCTTCAGGATATATACAACATTGAAACTCTTAAGAATTAAAAGTTAAATGACTTAATCTTAGGAGTTAAACGTTAGAATGTTTAAAATAAACAAAAATAAAAATTTAATGGACTGCTGTTAATCAAAAATTCTTATATTTAAATGTACAAAAAAAGTACACACACACAAACTCGATGGTTTAATCTGATGGTTGTTCACGTAAATCATGCCTACATACTGGGCAAGAACTGTTCGACTAAAATAAAAAATAATTATATATTAATTATAATCAAAGTAATTTGAGTATCTCTCTCAACGACAATTTAATGTAACATACTTGTAGCCATGGATCGATACATTTGTCATGATATAAATGTTTACAACGTAATATTTTCAGTTGTTCACCATGATCAAATACTAAAACGATATAGTTTAATGATTAAATTGACAAATTATAAATATTTTTTATATTTAGTTTTAATAATATACCTGTTAAACAAACAGCACATTTATCAACATCATCATCTCCACTACTATCTGTTGGCTTTGAATAAACAACAATTGGCAGTGCATCAATTTCAGCCTTACTAAGACCAACAATGACATCTTCTGGAACAGCATAACTAATTATTTCCTAAATATAAAGAGCCACGAATGTCGTTCTTCTGCTAATCTAAAAATACATACTGATATTTCAATTGTCACTGTAGCTGGATACAAAAGATGAACATGATCACTCGGTGATGCCACGGCTACCTAAAGAAAACAGTAAAATAATGGTTTTTTCTTAATATTATTCTTATAAAACTTATGATAAAAAATCGGAAAAAAAAAACTTACAAGTTCCATCATCAATCCATCTGTTAATGCCTCATGTCCATTGAGTAATTGTGGTACAATTGTCCTATAACATAAATGGCAATACATATTAAAATAAAAAGATGATGGACAGAACTTGTTACCTTATAAAATCATTTGTAAAATTTAATCGGTCTCTCATTTCTCTGCGATGATTTTCTTCCTCATTTCTTCTTGTTGTTGACCGATGATGATGCTGACGCCGTCGTTGTTGATAATGTTGCGACTGATTATGATGAGAATGTTGCTCACGAGTTGACTGTGACTGTTCTTGTGGTGGATGTACATGAGGTTGAGAGCGATTTTGTGATGATGCGTCTCGTGACGAAATATCATGATGCCGATGCCAATCATTATATTCTAATGTTGTTGGTCTTTGTGGTTGTGCATGTGCTTGTGTTTGCATCGGGCGTATCCATGGATTTCCTGATTGTTGACGACAATATCGTTGATACTGTTGTTCAGAATCACTTGAAAATGGACGGTAATTTGAAATACCTGGATGTTGAAAGGCCAAGTCATCTATTATTTCATTACTAAAATATATTAAACAAAGTTATTAGACACAGTTTGAATAAACAGTTTTTGCATCTTTCTATTTTGGCACTTTCTCAAAATCCTTAGTATATTCAAAATCATCTTCATTACAAATGTAGTTAATTATCAAATAACGTACCTTGGTTGACGTTGAGTATGATTTTGTCGAGTATATGAATCATTTTCTTGAACGGATCTTAAACGTTTATGATCTTGTTGTAGTGGCGGTGGGGAAGAGATTGTTGGTGATTGAAGTCGACTTTGATTTGATGATCGTCGACGTTTCATACTTGGATGTGATTGTTCATGTTCATCAGCGGACAACAAATTATTTTCATACTCTTGTCGCACATGGCTATTATTGTTTTGTTGTTGCTGTTGAAATAATTGACAGTGATGTCGAGAATATGAACGATGATGATCATTTTGACTTGTGGTACTAGGTTTATTAACATTCTGATAATGATTTGACCGTAAATTTGGTATCGATTGAGTTTGTTCGTTTGTATTGTATCTATTCACTTGTGAATAGGGTAAGCGATAATCATTGGCGAACGAAGACTGTTCATTAGATCGATGATCATGATGAAAATTACGACTGGTAGCACCGTAGGAATTATTATTTTCTCGTATCAATGGATGACTTCGATGAGAAAATATCGTCGATGGTTGATAACGAAACGAATTATCATTCATATTTCGTGTTTGACGATGAGAATGTCCGCTATTTGTATCTTGATGAAAATGAGCATTTCGTGAGGATGAAGGAAATAAAGAAAACATATCAGAATAACGATGATCAATGCTATCTGGAGAATGATTGTTCTGGATAGAATGCAAACGAAAGTTTTGGTCGTTATTCGCCATGGAAAATCTAGAGCAAACATAAAAAATAAAGAGATTGCATGTATTAACAAAAGTAAACTAAGAATAAAGGTCTTTAGAACCATGACAGCAAGAAGCTGACAAATAAAATATCTCATCTTGAAACATGTTCGAATGCTAGAAATGTCAATTACCCTAGGCCTGTTTAAAGATGGCAACATCGCCCTTACTGATTTGAATTATGTGCAAAGAAGAGGCTGTTATGAACTCGGAAAAAATATGTCCCCCACTACAGCCACTTTAATCAACAATAAAGTCACGTCTACTTTCAACAACAATAATTTCGAACCTCTTACTTCACGTCACTTTTCCAACTGACTAATATAACATAGATTAAGATACGTCGGGACTAAAAAATGCTATGACTGAGTTTAGTCCTAGTTTATCCTTTCATTTCGTTGATTGAAACTCTCAGGGTAAAGTATGGAATAAAATTGAGTTTTATTTAAATTTTATAGTTGAATAAATAGTCAAAGTAATATATTTGATGGGCTTTGTACTCCGAATTCAACAAGTTCAATTTAAGCGAGATGGAATAGGGGTCTAACAATAGAATTTGATTGGGATATAACCGATAGTGTTTCTTGAAACATAACAAGAGAAATTTTTTCTTTTCACTTCCAACGTGATAATTAAGTCTTGTATATCAATATATAAGGCTACGTTTACACTACAAAAGTCAAGTCAGTGTTAAGAAAGATGATTGGTAGAGAAGTTAACTCGGAGTTAAAACCCATGTTTTCGACATCATTTAACTTTAACCCCCCAATCATGAACGAGATCTGTGACCAATAATAAGTTTCATTAGATAGCGAAGGTGGCTCCAATTCAGTAGCAGAAAAACAAACATCTGATTCTCTCTTCATTTCTCTGCATGAGCTTAGAAAGGCAACTGTATAACGGAGATTCAAGGTATAAGGGTGTAGCAAACGCAACTTTCGGTAGTAATGAAATCGGCAAGCGACACAATTAAGATGGAAATATCTAAATCTTAGTGGTCTGTTAAAAATTTGGAATGTAAACGCTGTCAAAGTTAACTCGGAGTTAACTCGGAAAAATTTGTAGTGTAAAGTTTACACTGCAAACGTAGCGTTGTCTACTTTTAGCTGAAAATAAGTTGCCGAAAATAAGAATGTGTTTTCCCATTGGTGAATTGGCAAAATTTTTACTAATCCTCCTTTTAGAGTTATTATCGGCTATTATTTTCGGTTAAAAGTAGACAACGTAAACGCAGCCTAATACGTTACATTATATACCAAAATATAGTTTTATATTTTGTGTACAAGTTACACGACCGACACGTGTGTGATTGAACATGTAAGAGAAAACTAGAAAATAAGGAAATATCTTTCGTCCATGCGTATCTTTTTATTCTCTTTCTTTTGGATCGACGCGCTGAAGTCGAAAAAATGTCCACACACGGGATATATTATATGTGGAATAAAGAGATATTTCCTTATTTACTAGATTCCTCTAGTGCTTGCATGCACTATTGTTTTGTATCATCAGTTTTTGATGACAAAAATATTCTAGATAATTCACTCTATTTATTAGCAAAGTTTCAGATCTCTATTTCACTTCGTTATTAAGATACGATTAATCCAAGGTATTTTATGCTTACGTCGTGCTTTCCTTTTTTCTCGTCACAACTTGCACTGAAAAGAAAGAGAAATGCGCAGAATATGCGAGAGGGAAAAAGGAGATATCTCTTGCTTGATACGGCTTGTACTCAGTCTAAACGAGACTTGCAAAACAACGGTGTCCATATACATGTCAATAGTATGAAACGGACACTCGCAACAAGAAGTACATTAAGCACTTATTTTGTTGATCACACTTATTCACCACAGAGGCAAAAGTCTATAACGGACAACTAGACAATCCACTCTCAGTTCACACTGTAAATTCGTTCCATATAAACGGTTCACATTTAGTCATCATCATGTCAGCCACATACATGCGGGCAGGGTGGTAACTTTAATATTAATTAGCGTCACTGCAGTGACGCTAGTTAACATTAAAGTCACGATCCTAAATATTGATTGGTTAAAATTTATATAGTGTAAAATAAAATATTAGTTTAGTAAAAGATTTCGTATAATTTTAAACAGTATAGTAACTTCAAAAAGTATTAGAGTGTATCTTCGTTGTCTTCACAAGACAAGTGAAGATATAGATGGCAGTAAACACAGTGTGCCAGAACCCAAGTTGACTTGAATCGATCAGTGATCTCTCCTGATTGACTGGTTGAGTAAAAAAAGAAATTTCAGTGGTTCATGTCTCAGTTTAGAGCGACATCGGCTAAGACTTGGGGTAATAGTATAACACGAAGACACCCACAGATACCCGTAGACACTCACAGACACTTACAAACACCCACAGACAGTTGCACAGACAGCACACATACAACCACAGACAGCTACACAGACATCCATGGATGTCTGTGTTTGGATGTCTGTGTGGCTGTCTGTGGTTGTATGTGTGCTGTCTGTGGATGTCTGTGTGCTGTCTGTGGGTGTTTGTAAGTGTCTGTGAGTGTCTGTGGGTGTCTTCATGTTTTACTGTTACCCCAAGACTTGGATGATAGAATTTTTAAAAGAGGTATCAGTTAGATATCAGTCTGTGAAGTTTACCTGTAGTATAATAAGACGTATTCGTAGATAATGTATGACCAGTGGTGGCGCAAGTCCAAAAGCTTTGGGGGGAGGGAAGCAATAATTTTTTTAATGTAACATACTTGTGTTTTGTTACTCAAGCACGTTTTAATAGGTTTTAACGAAGAAAATGAATGTTAAAAGATGGCACTAAACAGCAGATATATTTGTTGTTTTTTCTGGATGGCCAGCAAGTGTTACTTCTTTTTTAAAATCGTTCTTCTCTAGTCAGTGCAGAACGGATAAATTTTTATTGGAGGGAAGGCTATTGCCCCGCTGTTACGCCACTACTGTGAATGGCGTGTTTGTTTATTAGCTCACTCAGAGCGTGAATTAAAAAAATTAATTTCCAAAAAATCGAGAGTTTTTGGCAGAAGTCTACTGTTTTTGAATTGGAAATGTTACGAGACCGGTCCCTAATGCTGTGGATCAAAAGAACAGTTCTGACAGAAAAAAAACGGCCTTTTTCTGCAGAATGTGGTTATTTTCGCGAGATATAACAGTTTTTGAAACATCATGAGTACACAACGGAAGCTATCATACGTTAGTCGTGCTCAGTATACTAACAATGCATTTTTGCACGTCCTTCCATGATTTTGAAATGAAAACCAGGAAAATAGTAGCGCTTTCCTTCCATCATCATTCTATCGTATCTATCATGTACGATTCTTCAGTTCAAAATTCAAAACAAACCTCAGGTCGAGAGCTGAGGGTCGTATTACAAAAAAACTTAAGTCATCGACTTAAGCCGTGATTTATGTCTAAGTTTAAGACTGACTTAAATCCGGGAACTTAAACCGTATTACGAAAAGACCTAAGTTGATGATTTGTTTACTTTTTGAAAGTCGTTGACAATAATGACAAACTTCAGACAAAAATCCGCAAAATAACGAAATATTTATTCTCTAACCTTCTTGAAAAGTCGTTTTTGTTGAATCGTAACGTTAAATGCCTAAACTATTCGAAAAATGCGTCAATGACTTAAGTTTGACTTAAGTCTTCGGTCTTAACTTCAAGACTACATTTCCCAGGACTTAAGTCATCCTTTGACTTGAGTTTTTTTGTAATACGGTCAAACTCAAGTCTCGGTTTAGGCTTAAGCCTTTTTGCAATATGACCCCAGGAAAATATGCTGAATTTATTATAAAGAGCTCGTAATCTAATATAAATCTAAAAAGGAGGGATCTTATGGAGATCCCTAGGACTGGAGATATATTTCTAATGTATTTTTCATTCATAAAAAATTATCTATAATCTTTAATTTTCATTACCCGCAAATCATTTTTTTCGTGTTTATTATGATAAAATAACTTATACTCTTTTCTATCTTTTCTATTTTTATATCAAATCTAACTTGGTAACAACTAATAATGATATACACGGAGAAAATTAACTTTTATATACAGTTTTAAAAGTATCGGAGAATAATCCAGAAACAAAACTAATCAAGCATGAGAGAATCCAGAAAAGGATATCCAGAATGTTCTCGACATGGGTCATATGTCCACGCCAAAGTGCGACATCTCTCGGAGAAAGGAGTAACATCAAACAAGAAATATACTTATGGAAGGATTTACAATCTTTACATAACATCTTACTCGCAGAAAAAAATTGAGCGGAGTTCAATGAAAAATAAAGAAGTACTGTCTATTGTTGATATTGTTTATGCACTCTCAAAAAAGAAGTGCTCCGCCAACTGAAATGGGCACTTTAGTAGATGCTGAATGGGGTACATCAGACATTTAAACGTCCTGTTCATCGGCCGAAGGGCACTTGTTTTTCACAGTGTGTAGGATTGATATAATCAGGATGCTTATAATACCACAATGTCCACTTAATAGATGATTATGGTGTGTATATAGAACATCATTGATCATTGTGGATGGTAAATATAATAATTTGAATTTTGTTAGTCCTCGTAGTAATAATTTATATAGTAAACCATCTTGTGGCTCATATGAATATTTGCCACAGTGTTTTTTGGCCTGTTTATCCTTATCTTAGATAATTGGATCATCGTCTTGTTTTTCTTTGATTTTTATGTAAAATTGAATAATGGTGTTGATTGATTGTTTGTGTCGGCTGTTGTTTGGCTCGTAATCGTGTAATAATAGGTACTATTGTACAATTTAGAGCCGCTAAGAATGGACATTGATAATAAAGTGAACGGTTATAAATGAAATGTAATGTTGGATCGATTGTGATCGATTCTGTTGAATATTTGGATAAATAATCTGGTACTCCTTTTTGAATCACTTGAACATATTTAACTTTTAGTATCTATGGAATAAGGTCTTGAATTTTCAATAACCAATTTTCTATTCATGAATTATATTTGGTTATCTTATGAAAATTTACTAATGGTTTGTGGTCTGTGTTGATAATAATTTGTTAGTCATCAATGTATTCTTGTAGCTTGATGGTACCAATAAATCAATAATGCTTCTAAATCAGTTGGCTTGTATCATTTTTCCTCATCATTGAGCATTCTTAATGAATAATAATTAATTTTGACATCACTAGATGTTGTTTAAAATATAACACCTCAAAGACCGATTTCTGATGTATCGATCACCAGGACAAATGATATGTTTGAATCTGGATAATGTAGAAACAATGGTTCTGTTGTTAATATTGTTTTAAATTTTTTAAATACTCCTATTTGTGGTTGTTTCCATTCAAATTTATAACGGTTCTGTTTCTGTAAATTGGTTACTGTGTGTATGGGAGCAGTACTTCTGGTAATATTCGGAATGACTTCTCATGAATTGATTGGCTTGTTTCAATGTTTTTGGTTACTGCATATGAATAATTGGATTGATTTTGATGGTTGATATTGGTTATTGGTAGTGTAACCTAAAAATTCCAATGTTTGTGTGACTAGTAAGCATTTGTTGGTGTTTAATTTAAAATTGCCTTTGGATAAAATGGAACAGATTTCATGGAGATGTTCTTCATGGCCTGTAAATGTCTTCGAGAATATAACAATATCGTCTGGGTATACAATAAAAGGAGTAATAACTTCTTTAGCTAAAACTTGTGATTGAAATTCCATATACATAAAAATTATCGACCACTATTAATATCATTTTGAACAACACAGGGGTTATGAAATTGCTGGTGTTAAGTAAAGAACTTAAATTGAGAATACTGATTCTTATGATAAATAATATAATACTGTTTGTACATCGATTAAAATTAGTCAACGTCATTAGATCATGTTCCTCTCAAATAAAAATTCATTTGGCAATCCAGTTGCATGAGGCTCATTCAGTTAGATGTTACGTGGAATGTTTTGGCTTATATGTTTACTTTATCCATATTTTTGCTTGATGTGTAATTTAGCAAAACTTGTTACTTCAGCGTATAGCGTATGGGATCTAAAGGTCTGATAGATATTAAAAAGTTCTATAAGATACGCGATAATGATAACAAAATCATACACTGTTAAAGCAGTACTTGGCATACAGAAATTTGCCAACGCTGCGGTAAAAACATCGAAACAATCAAAGCCATGGACAAATTCTTATATGTTTAGTATTCATTACCCTACAAAAAAATATTTTATTGGCACTGGTTGTACAGGGGTGCGCACCGGTGCCAAATAATTTTTTTTCCGGGCATCGATGCGCATCGGTGCCAGAAAGAATGTAAAAATCTCGCATCGGTGCTCATCAGTACAGAAGTTTTCTTTTCAATCACCATTTTGTTTTGTCAATTTCTGTCTATATTAACCCACAGTCTACTTCTAATATTTCGAATGTCTTTTTGACTTCATCTTTTCCTTCTCATAAGAAAAGTGCCGAGGCAATGCCGCATGGTTTTGGCATGGTACTGTGATACTGATCAGTGCCACATTCTAATACAAAATTCAGCATACAACCATAATAAAAAACTAATTAAATTAATTAAATAACTGATCTGTGCGGCACTCTTTCGGCAGAAATATATCAGCACTGGTGCGCACGGATATCAATCGGCACTAGTTCGATACTTCCTGGGCACAGGTACACACTGGCAGTGCAGCACTGGAATTCTTTTTATAGGGTATTGTTTGATATTGTACTTAGGGTTGCCCATCGTCTCGATCTTCGCGAGAAAATTCCACTTTCTGGACTGTTTTCCACTTCGTCCTGCTTTTTTCGCGTCTTTAGTTTTACATCCTGCGACTGAACAAAACTAAGGTTATTTTTTTATTAATGTATGACTCAGTAATCTGTGCCATTTGACTGTTCAGACAATGTATTTCATAGAGATCAAAAATATTTTTTACCTAGGATGCTTTCTTCTTCTGTCAATGCATTTAATTCTCTATCTATGCATCTTTCTCCTTCTCTGTTTCGTTTCGATACTTAATCGAAAACTAAAATATGTTAATTCAAAAGGTAAAAAATAAAAACTACTCCAAAATGAACGGTAAAAACGATGCAGAAAAGAATAGAAGAATAATGATGATGACAAAGAAAAAACAAAAATACAATCTGCTATTCATCCACTCCTATACCATCAACAATATCACCCACAGTGGAAAATCTAAAGAAAACAGCAACAATAACAATGAGAAAATTCTTAATTTATTTGGTTTTTCTTCCTACTTTTATGTCCAGTAGATGAGCAAGACTGTTCTTTTGAATCCCGATCCCGTCTCGCCAAAAGAATCTCTGATCCCGGTCCTGTGAAAATATCTTCCTTCGAAATAAAAGGAAAATTGTTTTTAAAAAATTGCTATTTACTATTTTAATGTAATAACTAAGATTCCGCTATAGAGTGTCATATTAGCC